TTTTTTTTTGCAGTTTTTGGCTGGGGCTGGGTTTGAACCCACCACCTCTGGCATATGGGGCTGGCACCCTACTCCTTTGAGCCACAGGCGCTGCCCTTTAGAGCATGTTTTTAAAAAAACAATATTTAAATTTGACGGATAATCCCTATTCACAATTTATCTCGCCAAGATTTAAAAGAAAGAATTCATTCACAAAGCATGCTCTAAGAATGTATAAGATGAGAATATCTCAATGTAACCTTTTCCATGTGTCAGAACAAAAATGTTGACATACATGAGATACAGTAGTTTGAAGCATCAAGAAGTTTAAAGTAGCTAACCAAGATAAAATTCCACTTCCCCAAATAGTGAATGTGAATTTTCTCTATGGGGGAGCAATGCATTCTATGTTCTTGTAAAACATGTGTCTTGAGCACTTAGAAATGTAGAAGCTGTTTTGAAGATGTAAGTATGCATTACTGGTAATGGAAGAGCAGATAAATATAAGAACTGAGTCATTCAAGTCCAGGCAGAGGTCACATGGGCTACTTCCAGGTGGAAGAATGTTTGACACTGCTCAGGTTAAGCAAGAGGGCAGTGAGAGAAATAGGAGCGATGATGAAAGGTAGGAAAAAGTCCCTACTAAACAGACTAAAAATAAAGCTGGAGGAAAAGGATACTGGGATTTACTCACTGACAAGAGACGCAAGTTTTCAGATCTTTCTTCTCTTTTTCTGTATGATAAGTTGACCACCCAAGGGACTGTAACACATTGATCGACATACAGATGTGGTCAACATAAGTAACTAGGCCTACTGTACTGATACATACATGTGGTGCATGTCCAGTCTGTGAACATTAGGTCAACTTAAGGAGGTGGTCTGCGTAGGAAGGTGGTCAACTATGGAAGTTCTACTGTATTTCCAGTTCTCCTCACATTAGCCTTCTTGGATTGATTGGATAAGAGTGAATGTTTTCTTCATCCTATTCATGAAACCTCTGTCCTTGTACGGTAGACCCTCCTTCTATGTGGGTTCTGCACCTGTGGATTCAACCAACTGCAAATCTGAAATATTCAAAAAGAAAAGTTCAGAAAGATCCAAGATGCAAAACTTGAATTTGCCTTGCTCTAAGTAGTAGGC